CCGTCCGCTGCTGGCCAAGCCGTCAGTCCGCGATTACGCCTATGCCTATCGCCGCTAGCGAGTTTCCGGCTTCCAGCATGCTCTGCGCTAGTATAGTTCTGGCATCTTACAAAGGCCTAGAGGCCTAGATGTTGTAACGCTGTAGCTGTTACCGCTAACTAACTGTTGTAAGCGAGATGTGGGCTCCCAAATACATCCAGACTTCCAGAGCATCGGAAACCGAGCTGGGCCGAGGCAACGTGCATCAGGCACCTTGATCAGCTTTAGCCTAGCATTTTGCTGCCACTAGCCCAAGGACTCATTCGGGTTTGGCTTAGGCTTAGGCCTCTGGCCCCTTAGAAGTATGAGCATTCCAACTTAGGGCCACTTAGTGCCTGATGAACACGTTCGCCATCTGAAGCCCTTCATCCTTTTGGCCTTTGGCCCTTGGCCCTTCCTCACGCGGCCTTGGGTTTTTTGGCCTCTGGCCTGGTCTGCGCCGCTGCCTGCTCTCGCAGGCGTTTTGCGTAGGTCCGAGCCAGGTTTGAGTCCGAATCTTCCGCGTCGACGCGATGCAGAAACAGTCTCGCACAGGTGTGTGTTGAAGCATAAGTCATAAGAGAAGCATTGATGCCAAGGCGTAAAGGCGTAAGGCGTAAGGCATAAGGCGTATGGCATATGGCATTATGGCCATTATGGCATATAAGGCATAAGGCATAAGGCATAAGCGAGGAATTAGAGTTATAGATCGTTAGGACCAGGACCAGGATCATTAGGACGCCTTCATAAGCCGCTCATAAGCCTTAGCATTAGCCTCTAAGGCTAAGGGCCAAGGGCTAAGATTCTACGGATTCTAAGGCTTCTAAGTTTTCCAAGGCTAAGGCGTATGAGCGGCTTATGACAGACATATGAAGTAGTTCGCCCTAGGCCCCTTAGCCTCATAAGCAGCCTATTCGAGAGTCTAGATTCTCAGAGTCAGCCCCCCCCCTAAAGAGCCTTAAAGCCTCAAGCCAAGCCCTAAGCCTTAAGCCTTAAGCCTTAAGCCTTATAAGCCTTATAAGCCTTAAACCAAAGCCTTAAGCCTTAAGCCTTAAGCCTTAAGCCTTAAGCCTTAAGCCTTAAGCCTTAAGCCTTAAGCCCTAAGCCGCCCTAAACCCTAGGCCCTAAACTCTAAACTCTAAACTCTAAACTCTAAACTCTAAACCTAAACCCCAGGCCCTAAACTCCCTAGGCCCTAAGCCCTAAACTCCCTAAACATTCTAAACTTCTAAGCCTAAGCCTAAGCCCTACACTTGGCCCTAAATTTAGCCCTAAACTTCCTAAACCGCCGAAACCCAAACCAGCCCGCTCGCTGCAGGACCTCCCATCCACGTGTGCAGCGGTTGCTGTCAGGCGGGGTCGGGTTCAAATCTAGAAACTAAAACCTAAAAAACCCTAAGGGCCTAAGGTCTTAATGCTGCGGCTAAGGCCCCTACAGCCTAGGACCTAAAACCTAGTTAAAGCCTAAAGTCCTAAAGTCCTAAAGCTAAAGCCACCGAGGCCCTGAGACCCTGGGCCCTCGGCCCGCCAGTAGTTCCTTCCAGATTGGCAGTTAAAGTAAGCCCTAATTTGAAGCCCTGAGGCCTTACATAAAGCCCTTACCTTAGCCTTAAGATTTAAGCCTCAAGCCTAAAGCCTTAAGTCCTTAAGCCTTAAGTCCTTAACTCCCTTCGCTCCTTAAGTCGTGAGTCCTTGTACGCCTGAGCCTTAAGCCTAAAAGGCCCAGCCTAGAGCCTTAAAGCCTCAAGGCCTTAAGCCTTAAGCCTTAAGCCTTAAGCCTTAGGGAATGAGTTTGCGAGTCGTTGGCAGGTCTTTGACCGGGTATAGGTTTGGGTTTTGGTTGAAGAGCAGTAAGGCCTGAGTTTGCGAGTTGTTGGCAGGTCTTTGACCGGGTATAGGTTTGGGTTTTGGTTGAAGAGCACTAAGATCCCACCCTTAAGTCCTTAGCTCCCGTAGCTGCTTAAGTCCTTAAGCCTTAAGTCCTTAAGTCGTAAGTCCTTGTAAGCCTGAGCCTTAAGCCCAAAAGGCCCAGCCTAAAGCCTTAGTAAAGCCTCAAGGCCTTAAGCCTTAAGCCCTTAAGCCTTAGGGTGCTGAGTTTGCGAGTTGTTGGGAGGTCTTTGGACCGGGTATAGGTTTGGGTTTGGGTTTTGGTTGAAGAGCAGTTAGATCCCAGCTTTGCACTTTTGCAGTTTTTGAGGGGCTCTAGCAGCGCGCGTCCTCGCATTAGGGGGGAAGGGAGCGCCGATTTCGCATCCATGCGTGCGCCTGACGAACCTGATGGTAAAGACGGTAAAGAGACTGACAAGAGAGCGACTTACGATCCCTTGAATGACGTGCCGAGCTGCTTCAGAAGGACCGTCGCCGCTCCATCCCAGCCAGCAGCAGATCAGGGCGATCAGGGGGTCAGGCTGCCGCACGGCTTGCCGATCAATGAAGGCAACGAGGTGGATCTTCCCGACTTGCAGGAGCCGACCACGCAGGCGGAAGCCTTGGCTCAGGCAGCGGTCCTCAACAGCTACGTTCCGATGTCGCTTTTTCCTCGCTTGTGCGATCTCCTGCCCACCGATGCCTCTGGCAGATCTCAACACCAACAGGCTGGGCAGGAGGGCAGAGAGCCTTTCTCTTTCACGGTCGGTGCGTTCGTGCATGGCGGAGTGCGCGGCTTGCGCACCAACACAAAGATGTTCCCCTGGGTCGCATACATGCTCGCTTCCTTCGTTCGCAGCTGCACAAACGAGGATGAGTTCAGCTCTATCAGCGTTTTGCGCAATGTTTTCATGCCGACACACTCGGATCGCTCAAACTGCAAAGCCACCCATAACTTTGCCATTCCTGTCTCGAGTTTTTCGGGAGGCGGCATTTGGGTAGAGGATGGCGACGGGGACGTCGTCGGCATGGACGGCGTCACTCTCGGGCGCGTGCATCGCTTACAGATGCCTGGGGCTCGTTTCTCCCCTCTTCTGAAGCATCACAGCCAGCACTGGACGGGAGATCGGATCGTCGTCATAGCGTATCATATCAGCGGAGCCGAGCGCTTGCTTCAAGCAGAAAGGGCCACCTTGTCAGCTCTGCGGTTCAGGCTACAGCCCGATGCCGCGCTCAGCGACCTTGAGTTTGAGAGCGAAGCCGATTGCGGGGAGAGCGGCGAGGGCTCCGAGTCTGAGCTTGCGGCGTCTCGTGACGACCTCGAGTTTCCTGGCGAGAGCGAAGCTGGGGCTCTCGAAGCTGAGGCCCCTGAGCCCAGCCAGGGCTCTGAGCGCGTGCCGCGCGAGCCATCTTGGTCTTGCTCAGACGATGACCTTTTTTTGGACTGACAGCTTTGGATTGATGCATCGCGCTTGCGCTCTGAGGCCTGAGGCCGGGTTTTGGGTTCGCAACATACTCCAGGCCCAAGGCCGATTCCAGCGTTTGTTTAGCATCAGCAGCTTAGCAGCTTAGCCGCCCAGCCAGCTTAGGCCTAGGCTGCTTTTAGGGATTAGTTTGGCTTAGGGCTTAGGGCCTTTAAGACTATATTTATACTTTACAAGGCTTAGGGCTTAGGGCTTAGGGGCTTAGGGCTTAGGCCCAGGGCTTAGGCTTAGGGCTTAGGGGTTTAGGGCTTTGGGCTTAGGGCTTAAGGCTTAAGGGGCTTAAGGCTTAAGGCTTAGGGCTTAGGGCCTAGGGGGCTTAGGGAACTTAGGCCTAGGGCTTAGCTTAGGGCTTAGGGCCTAGGGCCTAGGGCCTAGGGCTTAGGCTTAAAGCTTAAGGCTTCGGGTTTATGGCTTCGAGCTTCGTGTTTAGGGCCAAGTTTAGGGCTTAGTGCTGAAGGCTGAAGGGCTTAAGAAGGCTTAAAGGCTTAAGGCTCGAGCCTGAAGGCCCAGGGCCTAGGGCCTAGGGCCTAGGGCCGGGCGTATGGCTGCGTATGGCTGCGTGTGGCCTATGGCCTCTCGCCTCTCGCCTATGGCCTATGGCCTATGGCCTATGGCCTATGGTCTATGGCATGTAGCATTATCATCATATCCTATAGGCTTAAGGCTTAAGGCCTAGGGCCTAAAGATAGTTTTCTGATTTATGGCATGGCCTGTAGCCTATTCACCTTGACCTTGAGGTAGGGCCTCGGGCCTCGTCCGCTGGAAGGCCTTGATAAGGCCTAGGGCCTAGCATCTCTGCCTGCGAACTCGGTGCGCGAAGAAAGTCAGCTTTCAGCTTCTGCCTCTCCTGGTTCATTCAAAGGCATTGCTCAATCAGCAAGTCTGAAGCCTAGAGTCCGGTGTCCAAAGCCTATAGGTCCTATAGGTCCGATAGGTCCTAAAGCCCGTAGAGCCTAAAGGGCCTAAAGGGCCTAAAGGGCCTAAAGTTTACCTAAAGGCCTAAAGGCGCCTAAAGGTCCCGCAGCACAGAAGATTGTAGAAGAGTAGAAGAGACTATGAGTCTATAGACAAATGACAATGACAAAAAGAGTATATAGTATATAGTAGTATATAGTAGTATATAGTAGTATATAGTAGTATATAGTATATAGTATATAGTATATAGTATATAGTATATAGTGTATAGTATATATTATATAGTATATAATATATAGTATATCGTATGTAGATAGTATATAGTATATAGCATACAGTATAGTGTATAGTATGATAGTATCTAGTAATATATAGTATATAGTATTTGGTATATAGTATATAGTATATATAGTATATATAGTATATAGTGTATACAGTATATAGTGTATATAGTATATAGTATATGGTGTATAGTATATAGTATATAGTATATAGTATATAGTATATTAATTTTAGTATGTCTAGGCTCCAAACCTCTCACATTGAAGCTCGACATTGAGCCTGTAGTCTAGTTCTCGTCAAGCTCGAAGGAAGAAACTAATAACTCATCGCAGTAGGTAGAAGACAACTTGTATCGAAGCGCGCAACCTGGGCCAGGACCGCGCCGACTCCGTGGAGAAGGGCGCTTTGCTGGTGCGCAAAGTGCTTATGCACCACATGAGCATTCCAGCCCTGAACAAATGGACGACAGTGGCTCCCTGCGCTTCTTTCGTGGCTGCGCAGCAGCATTTTTGCGGGGTGTTGCCTGCTGCTTTCGAGGCCTGTTTTGGCAACTTGCCCGAAGCGTCGGAATCGTCCCAAGAGGATCAGGGGGCCGCGCTGGGGCAGCCCATTGACCAGACCAGAAGGTGGCGCAAACTTGCACGCAGGCGGCAGAAGAAAGCCGTTATGTTCTTGAAGGATCCAGAGTCGCAGTTTCGCACACTTAGCTGGACCGTTCTGACTGCTCCAGTGATGCGGATCCATTACTCTCTGTTCAAGCACGCGCACTGGTTCACTGAGCGCCCAGCGGTTCCCCCCGACGAGTCCTCAGCCTTTGGCATGGTGGCAGCGAGGCCTACCAGGAGAGCGCTTGCTGTGTTTGCAGACATGATGCAGTCCACCGAAAACGAGTCGTGGCTGCCCCTCGTCGGGTTTTATGGCCCTGTGCTGCAGTGGCCTCAGGCCAGGTTGCGAACCACTCGACGAACGGTTTGCACAATCGTCGGCCAGCTCTGGCGAAAGCTTGATGAGCCGTGGCAGCAATATCCGTGGAAGCTGCTTGGCCTTCTGGCAGACGACGAGAGGCGAAGGCAAGCTTGCGCCGAAGAGTTGCTTGCCAGCAGGAAGTGCTGCCTGGACAACTTTTCTGAGAAGCTACGAGCCATGTGTCCCTCTGCGGAGCAGCTACTCTCTGCAAAGACGGCTACTTTCCTCGAAGCGGTTTTCAACCGGGTGGTGCCCACGTCCACCGACATTGAGCGGTGCTTCGCCCGCTATCAGAGATGGACGGCGACGCGAGGGCACAAGCTCAAAGCAAGCCAGCTAGCCGCCCGGCACTATGCGCAATGCATGACGCACCTCGTAGATCAGTGGCGCAGACGGCGCATTCGAGCTGGCTTGCAGGCAGCGCCCAGGACGCACAGACATCGGCCGGTTTGGATTCGCGGGGCTCGCTCCCAGCGTGCCAGCACGGGCCTGCACGCGTTCACTCGGGCCCAGCGGCATCTTGGCGCGCCAGCCCGGGGAAACCAGGGGTGGTCCAGCATCGGCGTAGCGAGCCGCGCTTGGAGTCGTCTCCCTCCGGAGGAACGAGCGAGGTGGAGACAGCAGGCGAGGTTGCAGAACGCAGCTGCAAGGGCCCAGTTGGCGCAGGCCGAGGAAGCGGAAGGAGCAGAGAGCTTCGTCGGGGGTCCTTGGGACATGGGCTCCTCTGCGGGCTTTCCGCTGGCACGCCACGTTGTCGTCGACAACCAGCCACGCCAAGCAGAGATGGCGCAGCAGTTCGAGGAGCGCGCGCAGCAGCTACAGCCAGAGAATCTGGACAGCATGAGCGGAGCGCCTCAGGCCGAGCAGAACCTTTTCGCGCCCTGCGGCAGCGGCGCCTGTTTCGGCAATTTGCCAGAAGGCAGGCCTCGGGCCGATGCGGAGAACCTACACAGTCTCTTGATTCACGCGATCATGAAGAAAGGGCCGGGGCCGTTGAAGATGACAGAAGAGCCGCTCGTCGTGGCCTTCCTGTCCGAAGTCGCAGAGCGCGCTGAGTATTATGTGGTTGCCTATAACACACGCAAGCCGCCCATTGAGGCCGCCATGCTGAAGGTGGAAGTCGATATGAACGAGGAATTGCCCGAAGGCGTATCCAAGTCGTTGAGAATGAGCGCCGCTCCGGACGGGCAGCAGTTTGTGTTCTTCACGAACAAGTCCCTGTGCGTGCGCTTGCTTCAGGTCGCCAGCGATTGGACTCTCTACACCCTTCAGGTAGGGCCTGTGCGTAAGCTTTGGCATTTTGACATCGTGGGCGCAGAGAAAGTTGATACAGAGGCTGCTAAGCGCGACTTGGACTCATCGCGAAGCGCCGCTGTGGCTTTGCAGGCCCTGCGCGAACTGCTCAAACCAAGGCAGCCGCCAAAAAGACGGGACCCTGGCGCCTTTCCCAAGCCCTCAAAGAAGAGAGCCAAGAAGGCAGCGGCTGACCCAGAAGCTGAGGAAAAGCGCCACGAAGTCGCGGAGGACGAGGAGGAGGCCAGCAGCCAAGGCAGCTCCCGCAGCGACGTCGCTGCTGGGTTTTGCGACCCAACGGCGAGATCAAGCGCCGAGATTGAGGCGACCCAGCTTCACTAGTATGCAAGACAGACAATTCACATACTATACAATACAAAACATACAATTCATATATAATACTAGTATTAATAATTATATATTATAGTTCTTATAATGATATATACTATACTATATTATAATTTTTTGCTATATACGACTATACGATATTATTTATTTAGTATATATATTATATATATATATATGATATATGTATTGTAATGTCTGTCGTCGTCGTATAATATAAGATAAGATAATATAATATCAGATAATACATAATATTACTATACCATATAGTATATATAGTATATAGCATAGGGATAAGAAGACCTATAAGAAATATCAGCCCTAAACCCTAAACCCTAAACCCTAAGCCCTAAGCCCTAAACCCTAAACCCTAAACCCTAAACTCCCTAAACTAAACCCTAAGTCTGCAGTCAGAGGCCTCCTGAGTCCTTGGCTCACAGAGTCGGGTTCGTTTTAGGCGCCTCAGCCTCAAAAGCCTTAAAATCTTAAAAGCTTTCAAGACTTAAACTTAAACTGAAAGTTAAAGGCTTAAGGCAACAAGGCTTAAGGCTTAAGGCTTGAGGCAGGTTTACTCTCAAGCAAGGTTAAGGTCTTAAAGTCTTAAAGGTTTTAGGTCGCCTTAAGGCCTTATTGAAGGCTTTTAAGGCTTTTCGGGCATGCTTTCAAGCCTTCCCTTAGGCCTCAGGGCCTTAGGCCTCAGGCCTCAGGCCTCCGGCCTAGTCGTAAAGTCTCGTCTTAAGGCCCAAAGTGCCTAAAGCTTAAGGCTTAAGGCTTAAGGCCTCAAGGTTTAAGGCCCCTTGAGTCTTAAGTCTTAAGTCTTGCGTGTTCTCGAGCCTGAAGAAATATTAAGGGCCCAGGCTAAGGGTCTTGAGTCTTGAGACAGGCTTGAGTCGGCTTGAGTCTTGAGCGCTCAGGGTCTTAAGCGAGAAGAGTCTTATATAGGTCTTCAGAGTCTGAAGCCTTGAGGTCTGAAGTCTTTGGACTCGACTCAAGACTCTTACGACTTAAGACTCAAGACTCTACCTAGAATAACAGCTCTAACATCTTCAGAGAATTCAGAATCTTGAGCCTAAGGCTAAGGTCTTAGTCTTAACGGCTTAACGCTTAAGGCTTAAGGCTTAAGGCTTAAGGGCTTAAGGCTTAAGGCTTTGCTCATTCGGAGTCTTATGCTCAGTCTTAGGTCTTCGGCTTTCTGGAGTCTTAAGTTTGTCAGTCTCACTTCAGTCTCACGTCCCCAGGTTCAGCTGTCCCAAACCTCCAGGCTGATGGAAGGTTGCTTCTAAGCCTAGCGTCTCGTGCTGAGGTTGTGGAGGAGCGTGCTGATGATTCGCACGAGCCGGCCTCGTCTTCCCGAGATCCGCCGCGGGCGCGCTCAGCGCCCCTTCCCCCCTCACGATCGAATGTGAAGCGCGCAACAACATGGGGGCGGCATCCTGCCTTCTCCGTGGCGCCCATCTACGCAGAGAAGGTCTACATCGGCTGGGGCGCAACGTGCGGGAGGCATCAGGATGCCTCGGGGCGTGCTTTGCCATGTCGGAAAACGATCAGCGCTGGCAGCGGCGAGAGCCGCCTCTCCGACGGCGAGTGCGTCCTGCGGCTGAAGCGTTGGCTTGTAGCCGGGTTGCGAGACAGTGAGTGGCGCGGGAATGCTCGGAGCTTTCACGTTTCGCAGGGCGGAGTGCAGCTGGAGCAGTTCAAGCACGGTCTCACAGAGGCCGAGCTCGACGCCAGAGTTGGCCACACAAGCAGCTGAGTCAGTGCCCAGCTTCGCGGCAAAATGCTGCGTCACCCACGCAGCGTGCTGAGTCGCTGCCATCAGTAGCTCTTGTCTTGCGCAGAGTTTGAAGTTTTATGAGTAGTCGAGGATTCTTTTTTTTTTGTAAATTCAGGTTTAAGTTTAAGATTTAAGATTATCTCTACCGCTTTTGTTTTTCCGGTTTTATCTTTATTTTTTGTTGTTAATATCTAACATTTTTTCAAACTTTTAAACAATGTTTTAATGATTTGCCGCAACTATTTTCTCTACTCTATCTGTGCGTTTCTCGACCTTATCTGTGGTTTTCTCGACGTTATCCTTGGTTTTCTCTACACTAATTGTTTCGGCAAAACCTTCGGCAAAACATCATTATAAAGATTCTAATAATATTATATAAAAATATATAGGTTTTTGTATAATACTCATACATTATAACCCTAAACCCTTAAACTTAAACCCTAAGCCCTAGGCCCGAAGCCCTCACGGTTTAGGGTTTAGGGTTTAGGGTTTAGGGTTTAGGGTTTAGGGTTTAGGGTTTAGGGTTTAGGGTTTAGGGTTTAGGGTTTAGGGTTTCCCTAAACCCTAAGCCCTAAACCCTAAACCCCTAAACCCCTTAGCCTTAAGCCTTAAGCCTAACCTTAAGCTTGAAGCCTTAAACTAACCCTAAACCCTAACCCTAACCTAAACCCTAGGCCCTAAGGCCCTAAGGCCCCTAAGCCCTAAACTAAACCCTTGCGTGCCTGACAAGTTGGCTTGTTCGAAGCGTGCCTGTGCGATTTTAGAGCCTCAGATCATGGATGCGGAGGAAGAGGGGCGAAGTGCTACTTCGGGGTCAAGTGTCAAGCTCAGGGTCGCGTACTCCTTGAGCAAGGTTTGTACATGCTGCCTTTGCAATCACAAGTCCACAGATGTGAGTCCTTTGGACGGGTGCGACGATGAGGATCGTCTCCTCGGAGGCCGGATCCCTTGGGCGAAGTATCGCAAGGTCGTCGACCCGGAGAGCGATGAGACGGTCCGCGTGCCAGAGGGTCGCATCGACTTGATCTGCCTCAACGAAGGGGAGAGGGGGGGGGGAGGGTGG